TCCCAAATGCTTAACCAAGCTTTTACTTTTCATAATCATATCATTAATATACACTTTGACATTGCAGCCCTATCTGATCTTTGAACATTTTGCTAACCAACCTCTGATAAGTCATCCCTGTATTTTTTTAACCCAAACAACATGAACTTATAGCAATACAAGTCTGTCTTGATCACAAAGGTTATTTTCTTCTTATTTTTTTTAACATCTTAATCTAATTGTATCCCGAATATACATCCATGAAGCTAAGTAGACCATATTCAGCATTGTCATCCACCAATTGATTTATACTCGATAAGAGGAAATTGTTTTTTAGGCATGCCCTATTGAGTTCGGTGAAGTCAAAACGTTTTTCATTTCATGCTGTGTTTTTCTCACCATTACAATGTTGGCTATCCACTCATGGTAATACCTTTCTTGATAAAGCCAGCCTTTAACAATTTACTAACCTCATCTTCTATGGCTTTTTGCCTTTCAAGGGCAAAACATCTTTTCTTTTATGGAACTAACTTCATTTTTGAGTCAATATACAATATATGGATCATTACTAAATGATTGATCCCATGTATATCTAAAAGGGTCCATGCAAATAGGTTAGCATTATCTCTTAATAGTTGTATCAAAGTTTCTTTTTGGTCAAGCTTGACTTTTATTTGTATGCATTTATCTTTATTATTTTCAAAAAATAGTAAAAGTATCAGGTCTTTTGTAAGCTTTTTTCGGTTGATATCAATTTCAATGATTTTTTTTTAGTGTGCTTAGGTCAAGACCTTTTTTGTAAGAAGAACAAATCCAGACATTAATGCGAATGTGTTTAGTTTATTTAATCATAAAGATTTATGCATTTATGTGAAAGTATGAGCTTCATAGCTTGGTAAATGTAGTCATCCATATATTTATGGAACTAGCTTAAAAACTTGGTTTGAAATGATATTAGTGTCAGCTTGAAAGCTCGACATCAAAAAGTTTTTGAAAGATATCTACAAATTATGAGCTTAGGAGCTTGTTATTAGCTTTTAGGAGAGCATTTCTCATTTTTCCTCAATTTGGCCAGTCTCAAGCTTCTTACCCTAAAAGTCTTCTTTTTTTCCTTTCATTATCTTGACTTTAACATTTATTTCATATTTGACTTAAGTCTTCTTAGCTTCGGTTGAGCTTCTAGTTTACTTTCTAGTCTTTCCCTTCATAGTTGTAACATAGCATTATCTTATTATAGATTGGTCTCCTTGAACCTCTTTAACCCCATTAAGAGTAAGAAATTTGCTCTTAAAGTGAGAAACTGAACCAATAATCCTCATAACAAACTGGATTGATTGACCTAAAATCATGTTACATGCTAAGAGGATGTTTACTACTATGAATTTAATGATTAATGTTAAACTCCTTGGATCGATCCCTAGTGTGATTAGTAGCCTGATTGTACATTTTATTGGTATTTACTCATTCTTAAATCAGATCACGATGGCAGTGAATGGCTTAAAAATTTCCTCAATGATCCTTATTCTCATCATAATTGAATAATAAAAGACGTTGGTCAAGCTCCCATTATCAAATAAGTTTTTTTTATCACATGATTATACACTACGGCTTGTATAATAATGGCGTCATCTTGCGAGAATTGGATTCCTTCCAAATCCTTCGAGTTGAAAGAGATCGATTCAACCTTCCAACTTTTTTACTTTTTAACTGTGGACCCAATAGCCATAACTATGTCCTAGTCAAACACTTTTTTTGTTAAGCCAAGGTTTTGTCAGTTATTACATTAATGATTCCCGCACTGGGTCTATTATCCATATCATTGCTCTCTTTATTCCTTTGGTTGGCATTACAGTCGATATTACCTCAATCATCTCCTCTTTTTTTTTCTTCTCGATTCTTTTTTATCCCTATTTTTAAAATTTCTTCTCCTTTATTCTTGTCCTTTTTGGTCCACACACCTGTTTAACCGATCTCTTCTAATCAAGTTCTCTATTTCATTCATTAGGTCAATACAGTTTTTAGTATTATGGCCATAATCTTTGTGGAAAGCAAAACTTTTGGTCAATTTTTTTTTGTACCTCAATGGCTTAGGTCATTTGATTTTGAAATCCCTTTTTATTTGCATAAGATCCTCTCTCGGAGATATTCAATGCCGTGTAGTCATTATATCTTTTACTCGGGCATCTTACCCTAAGGTACCTTTCAATTTTTTTCCTTTTATGGATTTGTTGATTTCTCTTCCTCTACTAGAACTGAGGTGAGTGGATATGCCTTTCTCACCTCAGCTATTTTTATTGTAGTTTTAGTATTTATGTACTTCATAGTAATTAAGAGCACATCAGCTAAAGTCTTTGGAGGCTCTAGGGATAACGTGAACTTGAAGTGATATTCCTTGTCATTTAGCCTACTTGTTAGGGCGGGCACAATTGTAGCTTGTTTTAGATCCTTGACTTGAAGAGTTTCAATGTTAAAACATGTGACATACTTTTTCAAGGATTCATTTCTCCTTGGTAGGTAGACATTAGGTTCAATGTAATCTTGCTTTTGTTGGTTGTTGATGAAGTGGGATAAGAAATAGTGATCAAGCTATTTGAAGGAAGAGATGAACTTTGGCTTGAGATTGGTGTACCATGACCAAGCTACCCTTTTGAGCGTTGTGGCAAGCCCTTTGCACATTAAAGGCTCGTTAGCTCCTTATATCAATAATTAGTTCTGTAAATAATAAAGTGATCAAAGAAATCAGAGGTACTATTAAAGGTTTCAAAAGTTGGTATTTTAAATTCCTTTGGGGGCAAGGCTTGGTTGATATCCTTGCTAAATGGTGAAGTTTCCAAGTACTTTAGCTCATTTTCAAAGGTGGAGGCTTTATTTTCATCTTTTTTTCTATTGCCTTCATCCAAGCTTCCAGGTTTTCATTAAGCTGGGGTTCGAAAGTGGCTTATTTGAATTTTTGGGTGGTGGTGTATTCGAGTGTTTGTAATGTATCTTCCTCAGGCGCTGACAAGGCAACACTATCATTGTGTTGGTGGGTTCTTCAAGGTTGTAGAGCTTGATGCTTTAAAGGTTTATGGTGGAGTCAAGTTTTGTGTCATCTTTTTCAAGATCATAATTTTTAGGTGAGTGCTTCGAATTACTCCATTGTTGGGGCTATTTGTGCAGGCTAGTCAGGGTTTTGCTAATTAAGTTAAGTATTAGTACCAGGTGCAACATTATCTCTTTTTTCAACAACTTTCTTCCTAGGTGCCATGTTAGCTTGGTTAAACTAAAGTGCCCCTACCTGACGCACCAAAATATTAGTGTTAAACTGTCTTGACAAGAGCATAAACCTAAAATCACATGGTGGGAGGTCAGTTAATAGCAAAAGCAAAAGGTTTCTTCAATGTGTTGTTCTGACGCTCAAATCAATGCTCGAAAGAAAGTGAGAATGAGAGAAAACTTGAAAGTAGAATTAAAAGTTGAAGTTTTTATACTTGAAAGGGTGGAATTATTTATACCTGTACAGTAAGAGTACCAAGCCTAAGAGGCTTAAGCTCAAAGTGACAGAGTTAGGGCTGGCATTATTGGCCCTAGTTGAGTTGGTACTCAACAACTTAATTAGGAAGTGACAAGTCAACAATTTCACATAATATCAAGTGATCAGCTGAGGTGATCAAGTTGATGTGAGTTTGAGAGTTTAGGTGGGCTCAGGTCAAATTGACAAAATTGTCCTTGTCTGGTTGATGACTCACACTTTTGAAGTAAAATGTCTATTTTGCCTTTTGGATCACAAAATGCCCTTAATGGAGAAAAGTAAATATGAGTAAAAAAATTATATTTGGGAAATTTTAAGTGATTTAAATGAAATTTTAAGAGGTATGTTAGGTCTTAATTAGTGAAATTAATTTGTAATAATTTAATACATGTACAATCATTTAATTTAAAAGAATTAATTTTATTATATAATTTTGATATTATTAATGTTATTGTTAATTGAATTTTTTGTAAGTTTGAGTATGGTTATGTTGCTAACTATTACATTATTCTTGTTAATTAATTGTTTAAAATGTTGCACTCATTTATTTGATTTAATGGTAAAATACAAGTCCTATGTTCAAAGAATTAGATTTTAATCTCTTACCCCAATAATCGTATCTTATAAAATAAAATTTTAATGTTCATCATCATTCTTCCTAATAAGATTAAATATGTATTTATAATGTTCATGTCCACAAAATTCATGAATATATTAACAAACATGTTAGATATACATACTAATTTATGAATTGTAACTAAAAATGTTATTTTAATATATAAATGAAAGAAATCAAAGTATCATAAATTATTTTAGATTGCATAAATAAATGTTATTATGATTACAATAATTGTTTAGTACATTTTATAATAACTTGTATAAAAAAAAAAAATCACAATCGCGATGAGTGTAGCTATTGTTATTTTATCTATTACATTTGCAATCACAATAAACGCAACGCAACTGAAAATGTCACTACAACCAAAATTTAAATCCTTAGATCCAACGTGTGAATGATAAGTCAACATATTCAAATATTGCAAGTGAGGCTTGCTGGTCGAGTTGGCGTGGACTGAAAAATCAAGTTAACTGCTATGTCAGCTCAAACGTAATGACCAATGACTCTAGCTTGAAGATGAATTGCTCTCGTGTTGAAAAAAATCCACTATGCCCTCCTGGATCATAAAATACCTCTTACAGTTTCTCATTATTTCGTTTAATTTACTTGTTTGGTTTCACTTTTGTTTGTAGAAAAACATGTTAAAAATATACGGTAATTTGAGCCACAATTATGGTGGAGGAGGAGAAGAGAAACAATTATTGTATCATATCCTTACAGGACATTTTCATCTAAAATGAAAGGGGTGATGCAAATTTTGAGATTTAATATCCTTATCCATTTTTATCGAGTAATTGCCCATCCTAGTAGACAAGTTATATTTCGGATAGGTTTCATCATGACTGATGTTTTAACTTTTAATGTGGTTGATGATATGTTCCTCTTTAACTGATTTTTTTTTTTTCAAAATATGATCTATGAGAATTGTTTTATTGAATCTATAGGAAGGAAAGAAATATGAAGACAATACTTTAATGGTGCAGTAAATTGACTATATTTACTAACAGCATTAAGATTTCACTCTAGTGTATATTAGAGATACAGATGCCAGTTTCAGAGCCAGTTTCCTTGTTTCACCTGTATAGAAGAATGAATTCGCGCAGGCAGAAGGCGCTGATGGGTTACGATAGAAAAAAAAATAGTTCTTTGTTCTGATCTATCTGCTTTATTTATAAAATTGCGTCAGGAAATCTTCCGTCAGCATATTTCAAGTTCAACAAAACAGAATTCATTTTGTTGCCTTCATGATTGAATTTGAAGCTATTGGTGCATCGGTGGCGGTGCCATGGGGTAAGCAACAGGGACAATATAAGGAGGGGGGTGGTGACCAGGAGGAAGCATAAGAGGAGTTCCTACAGCAGATCCCAAATGCCCTGGAGCAGCTACTGGATTCCGAACAGGTGCTCCATACATGCCTAAACCAGGCAAATGTGGCTGAGCCCTTTGCTTCACTGATTGCCCCATGGATGCTGCTCCTGATGAGTTTGTGTTAGCTTGTTGGCCAGTGATAGGAGCTTGATGAGACGTATCCCCATTGTTAACGCTAGTGATGTCATGGATGCTGGACCTCCGCCGGTCTCTATTCATCGAATTTAAGCGGATGAAGTACTTTTGAGCATGGCTAGCCACCTGCGTTGGAGTTCTTGATATCACGAAGTTTCTTGAAATGCTTCTCCAATCTCCTTTACCAAACTTGTCTAACCCAAGTAGAAATAACCTGGATAACAAATTAAAGGTAAGGTTGGTTACACCATTCTTTTCTATAAGATGGCAAATCCTATTTCAAATTAAAGAATTTTTATCTGCTTCCCTTTAAAGAAAAAATTGTCATATTCGTATCCAATGAATTAGTTCCTCTTGAAGTTAGTATATGTCCAACAATTTAAAATATGATATAATGAGATGATATAAAAATGATACGAAAAATAAAAATAAAAGTGATGCAAGTTAAAATTAAAAAAAAAAAATCATTAGTCTAACAAAAATTAAAAAAATGCATTTCATGTTTGTCATGAATCAAATTATAATATATAATTTTCGCATAAAATATGATATGAATATATAAATTATCAATATTTTATACAAACAAATACAGGTCTAAATAGTATAACTATAAATTCCAATTTTGAAATCTTGGTTTTCATTTTCAATCGTCTAACTTAGTACTTTTAGTTAATAAACCACCCTTGTCAATAACTGCTACAAATTCAGTTGCTAAAGTTAGATAACAGGAGCAATAACAGACAGAAGTTGTAGAGAGAATACCTGTGCTCTTCTTCTGTCCAAGGAATTCCTTTCCTTCTTTCTTGGTCCGACTTGGAACTTCCTTTCCCTCCATGTCCACTCGAATCATGGCTTAACCCTGAAAATCCGTTTCCATAACCTGAATTCGATCTCTTATCCGAAGCAGCAGTAGCAGCTGCAGCTCCCGATAATCCATGAACATCCTTGGGAGAAGGTGTAGCTTCCTCTCCTGTATAACAAGGAAGTGGCACCTTACCAGCCTCTATTGCACTAACATCCTCCACTAGTTTTTGATAGTGTTGCTTCAATTCCTCAAGACTTTTACTAGGAACCATTGAAGCCATCTTCTCCCATTGCTCTTCAGAGTCCTCTATCCAATGCATCGCAAGCGCGTTTTCGAAAGCCTTCTCTTCTTCTCTGCTCCAAGTTACACTTCCTGCCATATTAAAATAGCCTCTGCAATTTTCAAATTTACCCTAAAAATGGTCTTGTGAAATGGTGAATGACTGAATTTCCTAGTTTGAAGCTCAATTTTCTTCTATGTTGAATAACTTGGTTGCATAGGAAAGGGAAAGAAAAAAAAGAAAAAAAGGAAATGAGATGAGTGTAGGATAAGGAGCATGGGAGGGTATCAAACTACGAAATGAAATGGATAGGGACCACTTTGTAACTGATTCATAACATGTCAAAAATACATAAACAAAAACAAAAGCTTGGAAAAGTACATATTTCATAAAATCCTTTCTCTTCTATGCATTATAGTTTGGTATTTCTTCTCCCTCTAATCATGGAGGAAGCAAAATCAAGGGAGATGTGGCCCAAGAATCTTTTTAAAACTCTATCACCACGCGCACTTTCACAGTTTTTTTCTCCCTCTTGAAAAATTTAACTGTTACTTTAAATTACAAATTAGTTCTAAATTAAATCCTAATAATTACAAGTAATTATCTATGATGTGGATTAGAATAGAAATACTATCGAAATTCAGTCTCACCAATATTTCAAAAAAGGGACTTTAAAGTAAATTATATTCAACATATATTAAAGTTAGACCACAAATGAATAAAGATATAAAAATAAAAATTATTTTCACTAAACAATTCAGAACGGAAACAAAAACTTAGCACCACCTATGTTTATTTCTACTCTACTTTCTAAATTTTCTTATATGATATAAAAGTTGATTTATAAATTACAGTATCACATGTTTAAAAATTATTATTTCAAAATTTATGATTTAATTTAATTATTTTGTACAATCACATTTAAAAGATTAAATTCAAATCTTAACGTTTATAATTTTTTTAAAATAAATTATTATTTTAATAAATATCTATTTATATATAGATAATAATTAGAACACAACTCATATAGTAAAAATATTTAACCTTTATTTGATTACAAGTATTTTTAATATTTGAAATTTTTATTTTTAATATTAAAATGTATGTTTGGACTCTCACATTAAAAAGTACAAAATAAAAAATAAAATAAAATTTTATCATTTTTGGAGGGTGCTTAGCACGTTCTTATGAAGGGCGTGGTGCGAGAGAGAATTGTTCCAATTTCCAAAACTCTTCGATGTCCTTCTAAAACGTGGCCAATTCTACATTTCTCGTTGCAGATAAATCACCATCATTATGCCTCTGGTGGTCTTTCTTTATTTTCTTTTTATTTTACTTTCTGTTTATTAAAATTTTTCTTTTTTTTTTTTAAATTGTTTGTTTTCTTCTGGTGCTATTATTGTTAGTATGCCTTACACTGTTTGAGAAAACTTTGTCATAATATAACAATATCATATTATCTTATTCATCTTTATTAAGGCTAAACAAATAAAAAAAGATTAAAACAGTTGTTTTGAAGAAAAAAAATTAACATCGTAAGAAAATTAACCTTTTCTAGTAAAACATGTATTATTTTGAAATATTCTAATAAAATAAGATAAACGTACACTTTTTCATTAAAAAAAAGAGTCCATAACTCAAAGTCCTACTATTGCAATTTTATGGTACAATTTATGTTTACACTAATTATTCCATAAAATAATCAATCCAGGCTGAGGCACTCAAAACAGTGCCAAAGGGCTTGTGGGCTAGGCTTGAACTGTCAGAAGTGACTATACGAGTATGAATCTTTAAATTTTGGTTCGAATGATATTCTGTTAGATTTTTGTATTAAAAACAAAAAGAAAAAGATAAGTAACAATCAAAACTAAATGAATATCATCTCAAGAACAACAATCAAGATTCTGCATGATATTGAGATTTTATCAGTCAATCCCATGAAAAAGATTCAAGGAGCCACAACTTTGAACACAGCATACTCCAAGATGTCAGACCAAACACTGAAGAATTACAGACTTTTGTAAGTGTCATCATCAGCCATCAATTCTTCTTCAGCATTATAACAATTTACAGGGGCGGGGGGATAAAACTGCTAAATGGTTATGGTCCACTCCACAACTTGCCTGTCAATAGTCATTGAAATTTAATAAACGATTGACAGTAACTTACCATAAAATCTGAATGCAATCCACTAGCATTTTGCATTTTGGTTACATCAGACATAACAATCAAGTAGAAATTAGAATATTGATTTGTGCAAAAACTTCATACTCTACTTTCAAATATCTTTGACACAATACTGATTACAAGCCAGAGAGTAATGATCATTAGCAGAGGAAAAAGTTTACTATCGCTGTCAGTCTTGCAAGGGACCCTAATAGCAAATGAAAAGGTATGAAACTGCAGAGTAATATATAAGAATCCCTTTAAGAAGCTTTAAAAACTACCAAGATGAAGCATTGTTGCACCTCCTTATAAAGCAAGCCAGCTACCAAGAATCATTTCAGCCGCAACATTTCCAGTACTACATTATAAAAGATGCTTCATGGGATCATGAATTATCAAACAAATCATATAGGCTCACAAAATTCTTCCAGGGATTTTGCCACATGTGTCAATAGCTTTTTGAAACCCTACATCTTCTGACTATATTGAATATAGGTTTTTCAGATCAATGATTCCTTACAAAAAATAATAATAATGGAAGCTCATCTCTCTAGAACAAAAAAGAATGAACTGCAACCATAAAGATTGCAAAAGAAAATGCTGAGATGGGAGTTGTCTTAGTAACCTGCCAAAAGATACAGTAGCTTACACATAGTGCCTTAAGAAAGAAAGCAACATGAATCTTCAACTTCCCACCAGAAAAAGGAAAAAAAAAATAGTAATATCCACGAGCTTTTCAAATTCTTTTGTAAATTTTGCAAATAAATTATCTCAGATATGCTTAAGGACAGAGTGGATTCAAGACAAGTTTCTCATTCTCACACATATGGAAAAATGCAAAGTCAAAATAAAGAAAATTCTAAGAAATTGCATGACACATGATTGCACAGAAAACAGAGTTGCAAGGGTATTTAGTCTCACCTATATGAACAATTACTCCAAAAGTTGGGGGATTCTCCATCCAAAGAAGCAGAGGAAGCTACAAGAGAATCACAGGTCGTGCCTTTTTCTAGAAGCATATGAAGACCTTTGATACCAGAGCCAACCTGATTCCTGGCTATACTTAATGTTATCTTGGCAAATAGGAGGATAGAACCCCAACTTGTATTGAAGGGCGGCCAGGAAGTTTTGTCAACTCTGGACTTGAACCTCCCTGTAGAAGAGCTGCCCTCTGGGGGCAGACGCTGCTGCATGTCCTTTGGAAGTACATTGAACACTGCCTGTAGATCACCCTTGAGTTTCTGGCACATTGCTGCAGAGTCTGCTACAGCCCTTCCAGATTGCTGCAACTGAAGATTACATTTAGCGAATAGGTAAAAAATTCACACTGTGCCCGTGAGTAGTCATATGCATAACATTAACCAGGAAAGCATTAAATATGTAGTTTGAGCAAAACAATACCTATGCAGCGTCATACAGCACATCAATGATGCAAATACAGATCATGCATCAGCATCTTTTTAGGCTCTTGCCTTTTGGGGACAGAAATGAGACTTTTTCACTATCATGTATTTCTTTTTCTTTTTCTTTTTTTTTGTGGGGGGGGGGGGCGGGGGGAGGGGAGTGGGATTGGAGGTAATGATTTCATTAACGTGGAAGACTCAGGCTTTAGTTACAACATGACTAAAGAATTTAAAAATGGAAAAAGATTTTCAAACTTAAAGTACAGTACTTTTATCAAACGTAACTAAATATTAACTTATATTAGTATTATAAAACAAGGCTTGGATGCAATCCTACTACGTAGTAAAAAGGTTGCTATCTCATATAATATTGCAATAAATTAAATATGATAAGCAGCTAGAAGTTTCCAATAGCATATTTTATGATCCTATTTTAACTAAAAGATAACTTAAAGAACACTATGATTTCACACAACAAATTTGTTCTATAACTTGTAGAATCCAGATCAAGCGAAATTGTTATGATGACTGTGGAGAAACATAAATAGAATTACTGCAATGGTCCATTTTGCCCATTTACCACTTTCACTAGAAATCTCCATTTTTTATGGTCATTCGTAAACAAATACTTATACAACATTTATAAAAAAAATACTCATGTGACATAAGGCAGTAACAATGAAATTTAGTACTTTCACATAGGCAAATCATCTCTCGCACAGGTGGTTTTTCAGCGTGTGCACGTGATGCGCATGGGTGGTGGGACACTCATTAATTAAGATGGTAGACATGAAGGTAACTAACATGGTGTCTGACATTACAAGATAGATGACAACTTATAAATGGTTGACAAATATCTAGGCAAAGAATTTGTCATGATAACTTCCACCAGATACATGATAAATTCTTTGTATTCCTTTTACTGGCAAACTTTTAAAAAATGGATTTTGTTGGCAAAACTTCAAAATGTTTTCTTAATACAAGAATAGGGTGCTAGAAAGATATGCATTTGCAGACATTCTAACGAAGCCAGACACAAATTGAGCATGTTAAATATAGTACGTAGGCAAAAGGATGAAAAGGATGTCATCTTATAGCTGAATAAGGAGGAAGAAATGAGAGATGACAAGCACATGTTTGTTTGAATGATTGATGGTAAGTATAGTAGAGTTGGTGCAAGGCATATTGACACATTTAGGGCAAGAGAAAGGGTGAAATGAATCATTCAAGACCCAAGAGGTGCTACATTATAGCTGATTAGCGAGGAACAAAAGACAAAAAAAATGCTTGTTTGCAAAATTGATGGTCAGTAAACTAGAGCTGGTGGGTGGCAGACACATTTAAGGCAAGATAAAGGGTGATATGAATCATTCATGACCCGAGTAGAACAGGAAAAATTCATCAAAAAGTTGAGCATAGGTTTCGTCAACCGAAGCATCAAGTGTAGTAACAATTTACACTTTTTTGGTTGTTACTTTCATTACTTGCTTTATGCTCTTGCTGACTTTTATGCTTCCAAAAGGAAAAAGCGTGTGATTTTAATTGCACAAACAACCAATTTATATGAATCAGAGGTCTCCTTAAACTGTTTGCTCATTTTTGGCCAAACATTGTTTGTTCTCTTCCTACTTGCTTTTGCTTTATAGCAAATAGGAAGTAAAAAGAAATAATAAAAGTAACACCAAACAAAACCTAATTTGCCCTTATT